CATAACTTCAGAGGTATTCCTGCCAAACGCATGTAATTAGAACATAATGATAAAGACATATCGAACTCAAATTGTAGCATATTCTATACACACAGAGAAATAGGCTATATTCCATTAAAATGTCAGTGTCATAAAATAAAAAGAAAGACTTGAAAAATTTTCCAGCTTAAAGAAGACTAAAGAGAAATCAAACATGCGACTAATAATCTTGGATTTTTTGTTGCTGTTGTTGTTCCAAAGGACAATATTGGGACAACTGGCAAAATCTGAATAAGGTCTATGTTTAACAAAATATGCATCAATGTTAATATCCTGATTTCAATAATAATATTGTGGTTAAGAGAACTGCTAGCTTTTAAGAAATATGCGGTTAAGTATGTGGGAGGCAAAGTGAAATCAAGTCTACAATGTTTAACTGACAGAGAGCAAGAGACAGAGGAAATTTGGGGGAAATTCTTTGTACTATCTTCACAACTTTTCTGTGTGGAATTATGTCAAAACAAAAAGGTTAAATAGAATGTTTTAATTTCAAAAAATTTCAAAATACACTTAGAAAATAGATAAAATACATTTTTATATTTTTGACTTATAAGTCAATATTAGCATTACACTTGTACTTAGCAACATTATTTTAAGAGTGCTTTGTTTTTTGCACAGGTTATGAAGAATTGTTCTTTTTTTCCCTTGGGGTGGTAGGGATGTTCTTAGCAATATGTGAAATAAACAATTATTCCATTTCTCAAGAAACCACTAGTTTCTAACTTTAAAAAAAAATCACTCTATGTGAATAATTACCCAAATACTTTCTGTCATAAATAACTGGAGTCAAATAGTATAATATTGCTTTGAACTTGAAGGAATTAGATGCTCACAGCTAGAAGAATGTATAAAATAATGCATTCTGTTAAAATTATCCCAGAAATAATAGGTTAGTGAGGCAAAATGTGGATGGTTAAGTTTGAGAAGTCAGATACCAAGATTCTATTTATCTTCTATAGAAAACTACAAATTGGAGAGAATTACATAACCTGCATTCTTCCTTATTTGAACTTTATATAACTTATCTTATCAGCCTTCAATGAAAAATTCAGGTACAAAATATTGGATCATTGCTCAATGAGAGTTATGAATACAGAGTGTAAAATCATTTATAATTCTTGAAATTAATCTTCATTCAGAGCAAATAAACAAATTGGAATCAATATTGCCTCACTTTTGCCTCTAGTACTGAAAAATGAAAGAAAGCGGAAAAATTAACACACAAAAATGTACACCACTTTTTACCTCTTCCTCAAAAGTGAAAACATTGGTTGAAACTACAAAACTACCTAGCTAGAAAGTCTGAATTATTTTTTCTTTTAGATAATATGAAAATGAGTAAAACATATGACATAAATATTATATTTTCTTAATAATATTAATAGAACAAAGTGCTAACTCCGTATCAAGCACAGTAGTCTACATATGTAATACAGATACAAAAAATATGTAAAAAATACAAAAACGAATAAGACAAAATTATTCTCATCAAGTAGTTTACATCCTACTTACATAAAAAGACAAGTAGATGATGACTTGAAAAGAACATTGATAGTTATCATCATGGAAGTACAAAAACTGCCCAAAGTTAGAAGGGACATTAAAACAAGTGTTCAGGCTAAAATTTCCTCTGAGCTGAGATTCAAAAAACAAGTAATCAAGTTCAAAGCCATGATGGTGACGAGGGAAGTAAAGCTAGTTTAAATGAGTGAAGAGCTGGGTTTATAGGGCCAGAACCATTGTCCATTGCAGAGCAGCTCCTCACAGAGCAGGAGTACTGCAGGCATGGACTCCCCAGACATGGGGAGTACAACCACCACTGCCATTGCTGCCACTGCAAGTTAACCCTGCTGCTACCAAGGATACTGCAGAAGCAAGGGAGATGGCTGCAGCTGCCACAACATAACCCCACTACTATCAAGGACACAGCGAGGAACACCACAGATGAGAGGGTGCCAGTTGCAACCGCCAATGCCACTGCTGCCCCCTCGAGGTAACCGCACTGCCGCTACAGACACTGTAGACACAAGGGAAGCAGTTGTAGCCACTGGCACTGCTACCGCCCCCACAAAGTAAGCCTGCTGCCACTGCAGACACCACAGACACCAGGGAGACAGCTGCAACTGCTGGCACCGCTGCCACCTGCACAAGGTAACCCTGCTGCTGCCAAGGACACCACAGATGCCTGGCAGGCAGCTGCATGCACTGACACAGCTGCTGCCACCACGACATAACCCTGGTGCCACTGCAGACACCATAGCTGTGTGGGCTGCCACTGTGGACACCACAGCCAAGAAGGTGGCTTTTGCAAGCACCATTGCTGCAGTCACTGCGTCCACCAGGGCTGCCAGGCAGCCACCATCATCAGATCAGCAGCCCACTGATGCTGGAGCCATCACTGCCACTCAGACAGCTCACCAAAGTCACCTCCACAACCACCACCACTACCACAAGAGTGGCCTGCCATCACAGCAGCAGCTGAAGCAGCCCGACACTGCACAGACTGCCAACTACTCAATTACATTGACATTATGAGGGTCACCAGTGGAGTGCAGGGAATGAAAGTAATAGAGGCAACAACTGCTTTATCAGAGGACCGGACATCAATATAGAGATGCTAGAAATCCAAAAAAAGCAAGAAAATATGAGTCCACTAAAGGAATACTTACTCTCTAGTACCAGACCCCATAGAGTGCAAAACCCTTGAAATGACTGAAAAGGAATTCTGAGTAAAAATCTTAAGGAAACTCAGCAAGATACAAGATGACACAGTTAGAAGATACAATAAACCAAGCAAAACTATCCAGGATATGAAGGAGGAAATTAACAAAGAGATAAATACTTTTAAAAAGAATGCCATAGAACTCATGGAACTGAAGGAGTCATTCAACAAAATAAAAAACACACCTGAGAGCTTAAGCAGCAGGCTAGAGCAAGCAGAAGAAAGAATTTCTGATCTTGAAGACAGTCTCTTTGAAATAACTCAAGAGAATGGAGAACCTTTCTACACTGTTGCACTGTTAGTAGGACTGTAAATTATCACAAACATTATGGAAAACAGTCTGGAGTTTCCTTGACCAACAATAGATAGAATTGCCATACAATCCAGAAATTATACTGCTAGGTATATACCAAAAGCAAAATGGAAATCATCATGTTGACGGGATACCTGCACCTTCATGTTTATTAATGCTCTATTTACAATAGCCAAGAGTTGGAAACAACCTATATGTCCATCAACAGATGATTGGATAAGGAAAATGTGTTACATGTTCATAATAGAATACTCCTCTTCCCTAAAAGAGAATGAAATATTCTCATTCGCAGCAACATGGATGAACTTAAGGAAAATCACATTAAGTGAAATAAGCTAGACACAGAAAGAGAAATTCCACATATCCTCATTCATAATTGGGAGCTAAAAAATAAACAAATAAAAAAGAAATATACAATAATCAAAATGATACGCTGTACTTTCAAAAGGAGAAAACAATAAAAGTTTTGCAAGATGGGAAAGGGGTAGGAGGAAGGAGGGGAAGGGAGGAATTGATAAAGGGCCATGAAAAACAATTACATTGTATAATGTCGAATATACTAATTACCCTGATTTGAGCATCACATATTGCACACAGGTAATGATATTCAACTCTGTAACCCCAGATATGTACAATCAACTATGTTATAATAAAAATTAAAAATTAAAAAATTTTAAAAATAAGAATAAAAAATATACAGATTAAGAAAATCAAATAAGCATACTATTTCAAGAATCAAGATAAAAACAACAAAATGAACTAAAAGACATAAATTAATAAATATAAAAGCATATTTTACTAAAACCAGTTATGAATGTTATGTTAAAGAAAAAGTATATATGCACGATACCATCAAAAGCTGTTCAACATCTTGCAATAAACTTAACCAATAAAAGGTAAGACTTAGATGAAGAAAACTATTAGTCACACAAGATTGCCAACCCAGATACTGATTTGTTTTAGAAAGTGGCCCAGACTTTCATATTTTCAAAAGCACTCCAGGTTATTCTAATAGGCACCTTGTGTTAAAAAAATTTATCTAGACCAGGCCCCTTACTCCCTTCTTTAACAATTCCTAACCTTTTCACAGCCAACAACTGAGGTTTTCCTGTAGGTGCAATATAGGCAATCTCCATTTAGAGAAAGTAAATAAAAAATTTAAGAGACAAGGCCCAATCCAGAGATAAAGAAGGTTTATTATAAAATTCTGCTTTACAAGGAAATTTAAAAGAAGGCCAAATATTCTTTAAAAAAGAAAGTAGATGAAAGAACCAGCAGGATAAAGAGAAAGATAGAGGAAAGCAGGTTTTAATGAATAACAAAAGGCCTATATTACATATGATTTCATTTGGTCTTTACAACAATCCAATGAGGTATTATCATCTTCCTTTCACATATGAGGAAAACGAGGCACTGAGAGAGTAATTAGCCAAGGTCATACATTTAAACAGTGACAAAGTAGGGATTTCAGCCAGGATTGATTTCAAACTCATTCTCTCTTAGACATTATGCTATACTACCACCTTTTCCAAAAAAAAAAAAAATCTTACCTGATATGAGGCATACAATTTTAACCTTTAACTATTTCTATTTCTAAAGCTAAAAATGATAACTTACTATTAAAAAACAATCAGCAGTGACTACTTTTAAATAATGAGATTATAATTTTTCTTTTTATTTTTCTACAATTGACAAATTTCCTATAATAAACATGCATTCATTTTGAAATAAGAAAAAGTAATATTTTTACAGAATATCACAGATTTTTTAAGTTTGCATAGTCCCTAATACACATTAGCCACTAAAAGTATTAAAATTGAATGGAAAAGTTCTTCTTTAGTAATACATATTCTCCACAAGATGCATCTCTTTCCCAATTTTCTTTTCCTTAGTAAAAATACCCTGAAGTAAAAGAAAAATACTTACCTGTACACTGTCCTCCATTGGTTGGATCTCCATAATAACCTGGCATGCAGTCTTGACACTGCTTTCCTGTGGTCAGATTTTTACACTGTTCACACACATTATTATTGATGCAAGTGCTATGTCCATTACACTGGCAAGCTAAAGAAAACAGTAAAATGTATTACAAATATCTACATAACAATATCAACTATAATAGCTATTAAGACGAAGAATTTCTTTTAAAAATCTGGATTATAGCAAAGTCTCAAGGGCATTTCCAATATTTTTTAATACATAATTCCTGTCGCTCAAAGTATTAAAGTAAAACAATATATACAACAAATTGTGTGTTGAAATTTTTACCTTATCCTCTATAATCATTTTCATCTTTATTACAACGAAGATAGCAGCTATCACTTAAACGAACTCTATCTCAGAAAAGCCAATGTTCAGCTGATGCCAGTTTGTGGCTGGTATCTATTCCAAGTGGTTAGTGTACATATAGCATCAGCTTTTGAACATTGTAAACACCACCCTATGACCAGAGAGACTACCAAGAATGGTACACATGAATTATATCATTTAATCATCAAAATAATGTTATGTGGAAGTTACTGCTTTTAGGTAACTTTTTTCTAACATGAGGAAGCCTGGGTTAAGTAACTACCCCAAATCACACAGCTAATCAGTGGTAAAAACAAATACTGAATCAAGAAGTTGAATTTAAAAACTGGACATTAAATACCATGTAAAACTACCTTTTGCATGCAGAAAATTTGAAAGTGTGAGAAATTTGGAAGAAAAAATTTGAAAGCCTTTTCCAAGAGGCTAGCAAAGGGTCATGAAAATGAATTAACATCAAAGGAGGATGAAATATACATGTAAGAAGTGTAAAACCAAATATCTATATTTTACAAAAATTTTTAGATGTATAACTCTATCATAACATAGTACAGAAATAACATGGAGTCATCATGGGAAAATGTCAAATAATATTCATTATCCTCTTCATGAAATTGAGAAAAAATGTAATTTTTAAACTTGATATTACATTACAAAACAAGCCAAGAAAAAATTTAATAAGACAAAATATTCATGACAAATTAAGTGAAACAAAAAAAAACATATTTAAAATGATCACAATTTTATTTTAAAATGTATAAATATGCTTATTGAAAAGTTAATGGTGGTTATGTTAGCCTAGTAATTTTTTTCTGCATCATCAATTTTCTACAATAAATTCATATTACTTTTATAACAAAAAATAATAATCTGAAGATTAAAAATTAGAAAAGGGTTACTACAAGTACTTTATGAAATGTCTGGTCACATAAATGGATCATCAGAATAAAAAAAATTAACATCTGAATAAGATGGCTAAATTTAGCATTTGTATCTAACACCCTTTTCACAGATTACCACTGAAATAATAAGAAAATTTGCCAGGGACAACAGGAATTTGGATATGGTGACAGCTACAGAAACAAAACTAGAAAGTAATACCCTGCAATACCTCTCAAAATTAAAAACGTATCTTCGGCATAATGCCACTTAACCTTCCCTTCCCAAATGAGAGAAATTCTTTTTTTTTTTTTTTCCAAATGAGAGAAATTATGAAGACAAGGGTCAACCATCGTTCAGTCATGAAGCACAATACTGGTACACCTCCATATGGCTGCTGAAAAGTATGGTACAGGGAAGTCCCCTGTAGTGAATGTACCAAGCCAAAGGTGGCATAATTTATATGTATCTGCAGGAAAAATCTCCAGCAATAGAAAGTCTGATTATTGTCATAGCTTATAACTAGTATGGTAGCAATGGCAAAGGAGAAAGAACATTATAGAAAGCAAGACTCAGGAATAATGACTAAATCAAACACAGACAAGAAAAGGATATACTAGTAACCTATCATTATGTTATATCCTCCACTACCATCAGAATGTTGGATCAACAGGCAATGTCAACTTGCACCTAATAGTTCTTCCAGTATACATTGTTATTTGAAAGGCTCTAATATCAACCTAGCTGTGAAACATGAGTAAAGCTAAAAAGCCATCCATCCTATATCCTATTTTTTCTAGATTTTAAAAACCAGCCCAGCTGGCTCCTCGTTTATGGACACATACACACACACACCCACACACCCACCCCCACCCCCACCCCCCCCACACACAAGAAAAACCATAATGACAAATTCGGCATTTGATGTGCAAATAAAGTAGATCCTTTTGAAAAATATGTGCTCTTTAAAACAGATCTGCTACATTTAAAAATATCTTCTTGACCTTCTCAATAAATTTCAAAAATATATACACAAAAATCCAAGGCAAAAATTTACCAAAAATGTATTCAATACATAGCCTACCTTAAAATAAAAGGAAGTTGCCAGATGCTAGAAATAAAGCAGGAATTCAAAACAAAAATGGCAAAGTGAAGTTGGAGTTAGTGGCAAAATTTTACTATACATGAGATAGACAAGGAAGAACTACAAGGCATGGGTTTCAAAATCCATCAGGGCCAGGAGACATAATCACTGACATCCTCAAAGAAGGAAGCTAAATTTAACTATGTTCATAAGGTGAAGCCACAAACTGTAGCCAGTATCTGTGAAAAAGGTACTAAAACACATCACAATCCCAAAAATTCACCTTAAATAAAAAGAACCACTTTAAGGCAAAAGAACCTTAACCCACTGGAGTACATGTATGAAAGAAAAAAGTCACTAGTGAGAACTTAAAGCCTACTCGAGGAATATGTGTTTAGTTGAAGTTAACATTGTCCATATGCTGAAGGAACCCAACATCAAACACTAATATAAAACCTGCTCCAAAAACAAGAAAAGCCTCACAGATGTTGCAAAAACAGATCTAAATGGCTCCTTGAGATACTTCTACAACTCAGGTCATAAAAATATATGATAAATTGAGAAAACTTATTTTTTCAGTAAAGGACTAGACAGTAACTATTTTAGACTGTGTAAGCCATACAATCTCTGTGACAACTACTCATCTCTGTCATTGTAGTGCAAAAGCAACCATACACAACATACAAAAAATTAAGCATAACTACACTCTGAAAAAACTTCATTACAAAAATAGGCAGTGAACGAGACTTTACCTGCAGGCCTTGCTTTGCCAATCCCTGGCATGGAAGAAAAAAGGCTCACTCAATTAAATTTCAAAATGAAAAATTAAAACAAATCATACAAAATCAGGAGAAAAAAAGAGAGAGAGAATGAGCATTGACAACCCAAGAAACAGAAAAAAAACAAATATAAGTTAATAAAATATTCAAAATAATTAAGGATAGAGAAAAAAATAAGAAAACCATGAATATAGAAGTAAAGGGAGGTGTGATGACAACGTCTCATCAGATAGAGAATATCAACAAAGACATAGAAATTATAAAAAATAACAAATGGAAATTGCAGAGTAGAAAAGTAAAATAAAATGAAAAATACAAAAGAGAAATTCAATAGTAGATTTGAACTGGCAAAAGAAAAAATGAGCAAAGTTAAAGACAGATCTATAGAGATTATATAATATTAAGTACAGAGAGATAAAAGAATGGAGAAAAATGAACAGAGCCTCAGAAAAATGTGGGACACAAGTGTACCGATATATGTAATTGGGGTGCCAAAAACAGAGAACAAAGAGAGAAAAGAGGCTAAAAATTATTTGAAAAAATGATTGCTGATAACTTCCTAAACTTGATTTAAAAACATTAATCTACACCTCAGAAAACCTAACAAACTCAAAACAGCAAAACTACAAAGAGCCACAAACACACACTACAACAAAAATAATAAAAGCCAAAGACAAAGAGAAAATCTTGAAAGCAGCAAGAGATAAAATTACCTCTTACTTACAAGGAAGCCAAATAATATTAACAACTGACTTATAATCAGGAACAATGGAGGCCAGTAGGCAATAGGATCATATATTCAAGGCACTCAAAAAACCCTGTCAAGTGAAAATCCTCTATCCAAGAAGGCTACCTTTCAAGAATTAAATTAAAATAAAGACATTCCCAAATATACAAAAATTGAGAGAATTAATTGTTAGCAGGCCCAGTTTACAAGAAATACTAAAGGAAGTTTTTCAGGGGAAAGCAAGTCAACTCTACACAAAAATAAATGAAAAGTGCTGGTAATGGTAAATTTATAATTAAAAAAGACAGTAAAAATGCCTATTTCTTCTCTTTTTTCTGTTACCTAATTTTAAAAATAAATATTAAATAAATATATATATAATGGATCATTTGGAGTGTAACACATAAAAATGTAATATATTTTCCAATAACAGAACTAAGGAGGTGAGTAAAGAAAATCTGTGTTGGGCTAAAAAATATAATACCAGACGGTAATTTGGATCCACAGGAACAAATAAAGAAAACCAGAAATGGCAAATACAAAGATTGATATAACAAAAGCTATAAATATATACTTGCCCTCCTTTCTTCTCTCAGATTCATTGTAATGTATTATTAGGTCTGCAATATATATAGACGTAACATACATAACAATAAGACAAAAATGGAAGAAAAAGAATAGACTTATATAAGTAACAGTATAGCTCACTGGAATTAAGTTAGGATATATCTTTTACATAATTTAATAAGTTAAGATATGTATGGTAAACCCTGGAGCAAATGACTAAAAAAAGACTCAAAAAATTTAGTAAAAATTTATTAAAGTTAAAATGTTACACTAGAAAATATTCACTTACTATTAAATAAATGAATGAAGAGCAGAGGAACAAAAACATCACAAGGTATAGAGCTTAAAAAAAGTAAAATGACGCATGTAAATCCAATTTTACCAATAACATTAAATGGCAATGTATTCAACAATTCAATCAAAAGGTAAAGACTGTTAGACTGGATAAAAAACAAAGATCCCACTATATGCTATCTACAGGAAACAGATTTTAGGTCCAAAGATTAAAACAGATTGAAAATGGAAAGATGGAAAATAACATTTATTAGTTGCTACAAAATAAATATAAAACAACTAACAAAACAGAGTAGCTATATTAATATTGGTAAAATAGATTTTCAAAAAAGTGTTAATAAAGAAGGGAATTTTATAATGATAAAAAGGACAAACCATCAGCAACATATTAAAATTATAAAAATTCATGTACCTAACAACTGAGCCT